TTCGAGCTCGGTACCCCGTCCTCCTCCTCGTGGAATACACGACAAAAGTCGGAGCGAGACCCAACCGGGAAAATAGTTGCGCCTTTAATCTTGTGGCGATTTCCGGGGAAATTTTCTTGTCGTGTACTCCACGAGGAGGAGGACGAGATCACATGGCCTAGAAAACTCCAGCAATTTTGCCTCCGCGTCCCCAGAAAAATTGCTGGTTTTTCTGCAAATGACGGATACTGTATCACTTTTCAACCTAATTGGATTGGACAGAATTATAATTTTTGCCCGGCCGGCCTTCTCGGCTTCTGTTGAATATTGAAAATATAGCATTTTGACAAATTTTGAAGTGCTGTAACAAAATTTGTATAGACGAAAATTTAAATAAGGCAAATTCTTGAAAAACAACTATCAGAGAGCTGCCATCAATTCGACAATTATGCTTTCCAAAAATTATTGCGCCAGGCTTTCAGTTTTCAAATAATAGTTTTACATTTACTGGTAGAATTTCAAGCTTCCATGAAGCATTCAAAAAATTGAATCATGCTCTCTCTCTCCGTCTGATTTCAATAAACAATTTTCACAAAATATCAATTACCTCGTAACTGGGACTCAATGTAATACGACCGATCGGACGCCTCGGCGCCACCATTCTTATATTTCAACACATAGGAACAATTTCGCTTTTTCACCGCTTAAGCAAAAATTAGAGACGAATTCGCTTCAAAATTTTCTGTGCTTGCAGGAGGAACCGAAGACACTGGTGCCAACGAGAGATGAGGTTCGAAGAAGACAATGCACAAGCTGTGCATCTCTTACTAAAAAACGATTACTCAATATGTTCCCCATGTTCCACGTCAATTTTTTTGGAGATAATTTGTCCGCGAGATGAGATGAGATGTGTTGGGATGAGGTTACTGGAGTATATGGGCGATGTGCTTTATTTGTTCGAAAAATAAGGAGAGCACCAGAAAAAAGAGAAGAGTTAAACCGAAGACAAGCAGATTAATTTTGTTGGGATTCTCAAACAGTAACGGTGAGACACCGTTACTGTGCTGAAAGAAATATATGTCTACTTCGAGCTTAATCATCTTGGTTCCTTTAAAAGATATCAGAAACGATTCAACTGATAAATTGTTTATCATAACATTACCAACATATTATCAGTTAACAAAATTTTGATATCTTTCAGAGAAACTTAGATAATTAAGCTCAAAGTGCACGTATAGAGTCGGCTTCTATTAGAGCAAGTACGGTATTTTTTCGGAAATTCGATAGAAGATTCAAAAAATGACTCTAAATAAATTTTCAAGACTCTGAGGTTTTTTGAGACTGTGTCATTTCGTTTTCACAATAATTACAGTATGTTTGTAAAGACCGTAAGTAAAAAATATTGACAACTGATAAAATATGGTTAATATTATTATGATTATGTGATTAGTTAACAAGTTTTTGATATCTTTTGCATAAATTGAGATAATCAAGTTCGAACGGTTTGGGTAAGCTTCTATTGGAAGAAACACTGTATATCCTCTCCTTCAAGTTATCAAAATCAAAAATAAACTAACCAAACACGGCTCACTAGGAATGGGAGCCGGGAAACTAGTATAATAAGAGTCCATTTTGAATATCCTTTACTTCCTTCGATTTTCAAGGACGTTGAAAATGAGAGAATGGAAACGGGAAGATGGGGATGAAAGGAGGGGGTGAGAAACACCGTCGGTGGCTCACAGGCACTTTCAGGAGAATAAAGGCGGAATGAAGATGTATTAGAGGAGTAAGAAGAAATGAAAAGAGAGAGAAAGGGAGGTAGTATCCTTTCAATTCTTTCCCAGTGACTTTGTTCGTTTTCTATATTGATTCGGTCTGTGGCTGTGCAACAGAGCTAATGTGTAGCTTGAATGTTGGCGCAGAATAGTGTGGTGTATACGAATCTTCTTTCCTTTTTCTCCTTTAGAATGTCAGTTCATCCGTTTCGTTTCCCCCGCGCTGGCTCTTTGTCTTTCCTATCCCATCTCATCACATTTTTTTTCGCTGTTTCTATTCTAATACTTCTTGGAGTGGACCGTGTAAAAGAAATTGCTGGTTACGAAATTTTATGGTGAGTGAGAAGTGGACGAATAAGATGATATAGAATTGCAGTAGTTCTAGGCGTCCAATAGACAAGTTTAGTGCACATTAGAGAATTCAGAATTGAACATACAGTACCTGTCACTAAAATATGCAAAAACGTTTTTTTCAGCCAATTTTCAGCCATTTTGACCGTTTCCGAAGTCCGTCAAGTTTCCGATCACTCTGAAAATTTTAGAAGGTGTAAAACAGACTTAGATTAGAAACTTCACATTCAGAGAATTTTCGAAAATTTTCTAGTTTTTCAACTACTAGTTGGTGTTTGAAAGACACTCCTTTTGATCTGTGTTTGTACTGAAACCGTGAAAAACAGGTGTCCTTCGAAAATTGGCCAATAGCTGAAAAACTAAAATTTTTCAAGGAAATCTATAATTGCAAAATTTTCATACTAGGTATGTTTAACACCCTCGGAGAATTTCAATGTGATCCGACACTTGACAGTCTAGTTCTCGGCCCATAAGAATGGTCGTGAATTAACTGGCAAATACGTTTTTCTGTACCGTAAAACCTGTATTAGCTGTGTCCCTTTAAAACGCCCCTTCTCTAATACAGAAGCTCCCCAAGAGGAACTTAAGAAAATAGAATGATCTCCTGTAATAGAAGGGCTTTGTTCAAAATATAATGTTTGAAATCAAAAATTTCCGAACGTTTTCAGTGAGAACATTACCGCACATTCCTCGATTTTGGCAAAATCGATAAATTTTCATAAATTTCCATTTCACTAAATTTTTTGCTCAAAAATTTCGGAAATGGCTCTTCTAATACTTCTAATAAATATCTTCACGGATTTCTTATTGACCGATAATGTTTGTTTTTAATACGTGTCAGACACCTCCAAAAAACAGTATCTCAGTAATGGTCAGATTTGGTTATGTTGAAGTAATAAGAATCACAAACAAAAAAGAAGAGAAAAACTAGAATCACCGAAACGGAACGCTTTACCAGTGAGAATGAATGTTTTTAGATACTATGAAATCAAAACTGAGGATTTGTCTGAGCAACAACCAAGATTTTCACCTTCTCATCAATCCAAAAAACGCAACTGGCAACTTGTACAATAAAGAGCTTACTACTAGAAAGCCAAAAAGGATGAGACCTCTCTCTGACTCAGCGAGTGGCGGTTCAAATCCAATTTTAGAATTTGACATCGGATTCAAATTCAGACCAGCATTTTTCCCCTTATTTTTTCCTTTTCTCACTGAAATTGGAAAGAAAACCGAGCAAGCGAAAAAAAACAAAAAAGTCCAAGTATTCGGTAATAAAGAGAAATTTTCTGAAAGTGAAAAAAATTGTGTTTTTGAAAAAAAAGCCGAGAGCAGATGGTAGCTTTCAAAATTAAAGAGACAAAGGCTAAAATGGGGGACACAGCTGAAAACAATGAATGGGAGAGAGAGAGAGAGAGAGAGAGCTGAGGCCATATTCACTAGGGACTTTTTTCGATATTTAGCGTCATTTGATAGTCGTCATTATGTTTTGAATACTGAATAAGATGAAGGTCTGAGAAATTTGGGTTATGAGAGGAATTGAAGAAAAAAGTGAGGCAAATTTTTTATTCAGTAAAACTACAATATATTTTATCTCTGCGCCTACATTAACACTAATCTGGCATTGAAATCTACTCTAAAAAGCTCCCAATCCTATCGTTAGTTGCCTCTGAAATGTCCGACGTGACTGAATATGTAGTTTAGCAGAGTGCCTCATCCTAAGCCAAAAGAGCACAATGATGGTGCAAGTGGTAGACAATTCCCATTGCGGATTACGCTATCTGGCGGCTTCTTTTGCACCCAGAAACACGTGGAATCAAAAATGGGGGAATAGACGTCATTAGGGGTGGGAAATAATGTGGACTATGTGTAGAAATAATGAAGAGGAATTAGGGCTAAAGTGAGGTCAAAAGTTTAAGAAGGCCAAAATAAGGATTATGGATGCTCAACTAGCAAAAATAATTGTTTAGCCCTAGGAAAATTGCATATTGACTCTTCAAATTAATTCTAGTAAGCTGGAAAAATCCAGAGAACATTAATGAAAAAAAATATTTGTCTGTTTGTTTTTTCTAAGGATACACAAAGATGATTCATATAATGTTTTCGTTGGAAACAATCGATTGAAATTAATTTCGCAATTGCTAGAAAGCAAAACATCTGGGAATGCTTCTTTATTGAATGAAACACTGAATGGAGAAAATTAATTTCTAGTTTTTTTTTAATTAAAAATTAATTTTTTAGACTTTTTCAAAAGTACAGTTTTCTTTTTGTTTTTAACGACGTTTTGAAACAAAAAAGACAAAAAGCAAACCCCGAAAAATGAAATTTTTCAAAATATTCGTTTCAAGCGATTTCCAGGCAATCAAAATAAACTGAAAATTCTAAAAATCACATGATTCACGCTGCTCACTAATTTATTCATATAAAACAGCGCTTCGATATGGAAGCGCTCATAAACGAATTTCCAAAAGGTTTAAGGAAATAAAATAATTAGTTGTACTCAAATTAGCCACATAATTTTGCAATTTAAAAAACCTAAGTATCCAGGTTTCAAAAATGGCTGAAAAGTAGTCCTATAGAAAGCAACATAAACCGTCAACTTTGAGCAAAAATATTTCTTGTAAAAGTTATCAATTAGTAGTAAACCGACAAAGTGATGTCAATTTTTCAATAAACATTTTGTCAGTTTATTACTTTTTGATACAAAAACCGAGATATAAAGGCTCACAGTTGGCGGTTTTAGTGGCTACGGAAGTTTAATGTTTTTACTTTCAGACATATTATATCAACAATAATTTTTCATTTTTCAAACCACATTTTCAGGTTTATTGTAAGTTTTTCAAAGTTATTGTTGATTGAATCCCTCTTAAAAGAAAAGTCAGTCATAAATCTCAAAAAGAAGACACAAAATCACATCATCCTGTCAATTTCTTCTTCCTACTTTCTCTATCCAACTATTCAAAATCAAAAGTAGCTGTTCTGAATGATGCACTCACCTTGAGAGCTTCAAACATGTGCAGACTTTGCCCGATTGACGAGCGCAGTCATGCGGCCAGGTTTTTAGCTTCCTTGGATTCCAAACCGGGGGGACAAATGCTCCAGCCGTTGAGCAGCTTTCCTGGCTCTGTAATATATAATTTTCTAGAATGTAACTTCCTGTATAATCGAATCGGAAAGAATGTTGTCATAGAAGAACATAACGTTTGTCATGTTTTTCTCTGACAAATGAATTCAACGGAATTTAACAAAATCGACACAATGTACACACACACATAGCAAAAGAAGCTCTTTGCACTGCTACTGCCCAGGGGAGTACTCACAAGTGAGAGACGCAAAAAGTTCCGGAGATTTAGAGAGTTTTTCCCCCGTCAAGAGGGATGAGATAGGAAAAAGAAGTCTGTCCGTCCCAGTGGTCCTTAGGCTAACAGAAAAAAGACCAATAACAAATTGAGTTGGAAGACAGAGAATTGAAAAATTAGAAGAGTGTGATGAGGTCTGTCGTCGGATGTATTAAAATTAGGTCCTCATTTTCGTGATGAGTGATGGGGGATAGAGAAAGAAGGAGTCAAATTAGATCTAATGGAATTGGGTACTTAATTTCGGGAGAAGAAGGGTCGGATAAACTTTTTTTTTTGTTGAAGTTTCGCATGACTTCAAAAGTAAGACAGGCTGTAGAAAATTTGGCAAAAAAACTTACTATTTCAGAAGAAACCATACTTGCAACGGGTTGGGCCGGATAGGCCAATTACTCGAATTTTCTCAGCTAGACTTCGGTCCGGCCCTGCCCGAAATTCCAGTATTTTTTCAAAAAATACAAAAAACCTTAAAGTAAAATTCTGAAATTTTCCTTAAAATTTTATACAATTTTCAAATTTGAGAAACACGGACCCATTAAGCTGTGTCATGATTTTCAAAGTACGCAAAAAAGAACTTTTCCCAGGGTGGGTCATGCCATAATTGAAAAATGGATTTTTTGAAAATTATTGCCATTTTTTTAATTATTGCCATTTTTTGTTGAAAATTTTAATTTTTTTGAATTAAAAAACCCGGGTCCTAAGGCCAAACCGGGTCCGTGATTTTCCAAGTTTGCGGTAAATTAACCTGTGGATCATGTTGAAATGGCAAAATCGCAAATTTGGGAAATTTTGATTTATCTGAATGTGAGCTTGATCAGTTTTCATGTCATAGCGTTTTTCTGGTTATTCTAATTATGATAAAATTAATCTTCAATTTTTAAAAATTTGAATTCATACAATCGGAACACCGCAATTTCCATATTTACGTTTGCAACATCTGATTAACATCTGTCTGGGCATTTTTTCTGCTTGAGTGCTCACACACGCAATCACATAATCTGATAGATCAGGTGCGTGACAATACAAAACAGAACACCAATTTTCTCATTCTCCGGAAAAGGATACAGCTTTCAAATTGAGAATAAAAAAACAAAACAAATTAGGCGACAGAATGGAAGCAAAAAACAACAGACGAAGGAAATTGACTAGACA